TAAACACAATTTAATAAAAGTCTTGCACAAAGGGGAAAAAAACAACAAATTTCTCACACTCATCTCCCAGAGGATATAGGGTGTGGATGAATGTTTTTCTCGACAAGTCTGCCTTTTGCCTGGCATCTGTCCCAAGTCAGGTCTAGGGCTGGGTGCTGCCCAAGTAGGTATGCACATGCTGGCTGGGATGGTAGCCAGGACACTGGCTGGGGCACTGGCCATTCTCTCACTGACTGGCAGGGGGCAGCCTGGCCTTGCAGTTCAGCTTCCCACGCTTGGTGTGCGCTCTCTCTCTCTCTCTCTCTCTCTCTCTCTCTCTCTCTCTCTCTCTGTCACACACACACACACCACCACCACCACCACCACCACCACACACTATCACAGCCATGAGCTCATTCTGTTCGTGTCTGGCAATCTGGGTGGGTTCCTTTCTCCTCACACTCTGTCCAGCTTCATTTCAAATGACTCATGCATGGTTTTGCCTTCTCCCCCAGGGAGACCCCTGCCCAACCTTCTCAATTAGGCAGTGTTTCCTGATAAGTGGCCCCTTGCCCCACTCCTCCCAGACCACCCGAGATTGGCTCCCCTGGTTCCAAACGCCGAGTGAGTGTACAGGATGGGGACAAATTCCACTACTTTAACCTCTTCCTGCCTGCCGTGGGGCCTGCTGGTGACTGTCTGCTCACATTATGCAGCCATGGTCTGGAGAAACGGCAGCAGGATGGCCTTGGGGTCCACAGAACCCTCTGTGAAATGGGCTTGTCACTTGCCCCTCTCTAGCCTGTATTCTCAGTGGAGATCCCAGGGAATCCATAGGGGTCCAGAAACTGAGCCCAGGAATCTCGAAAAGATCTGGTCATTCCCTTTCCCTTCGGGGATGGTCACCTTGGAAAAGAGCTAGAGGCAGGCTGGGCAACTCTCAGGGTCCTTCCTCAAGGGGACCTGATCGTCCCTTAACTTGGGGGTTCTGCACCTGTAAGTGGGTTCAAGCCCAGGGACCCCCATCAAAGAGCCGTGACTCAGCTTAGAGCTCCAGCTAGATCTTTGCTCTCGGCTGTGAACACAGAGGCCTCTGGCCCCTGGCATTTGGATGGCTGCACAGGACTAGGTGGTCACTGAGGGAGGTGACAGCGAGCCTTCTAGCCCTGAAACCAGAGGGTCACTTGGCCATCCGCCAGAGCACAGTATTAGGAAGGAGACTGGCCTTTCCCAGTAGGCTGCCCTTCCCACACTCTGCAAAGCCAGGAGATTGTCTCCACTGGGGGAAGGAAAGGTGGTAGGAAAGAGTGGAGAGGGAGGGAAGAGGAAAAGGAGGAGGAGGAGTTTCCCTTCCTAGCCCGCTGCATGCCCTCAGGGGAGTGCCGCCAAACTCAGCAGACTCAGTTTCCCACCCGGTGCTTATCAAGAGCTCCTCTATAGGGATTCGCTTTCTACCCGCTTCGTGGCTCCTTCAGGCATTGCATTTTGACCAGCACCAGAAAAAAATGCTAGAATCTCCTGTTTCCGTGATCCTTTCACTCTGTTCCTTGGTGGTCCCTCCACGGAGCTTCTCTCTCCTTTCTCCCTGTCTTCAGCAGAGACACTGACACGTGGGGCGGAACTTCCACAGGGCAGGTGCTCTCTCCACCCCGGGGCTGGGCTGGCTGGTGGCAGTCGGGGCAGATGGAGAGGGACTGGCAGGCTGGGGTGCTCCTTTGGGAGAGTATGGCAGGGTAGAGCCCCGTAAGAAGAAGCACCTCAAAGATCTGTGAGGGACAGAGAGGGACAAGCCACCTAACTCTTGTGCCTATGCTATGGAGCAAGCCTGCCCTAGCCCTGGGTGAGGCTGCATGCAGGTAAGTGTGTCGGGGGCACATGTCTCCTGAGGTTCTGTTGAAGGAAGAACGACAGTGGTATCTCCACCATCCACTGCCATCTCCCCATCTACGGGAATGGAAGGCTGGGGTAGCTGTCAGATTCAGAGCTGGCATTATTTTATGCCGGGGCATGCATCGGGCCACCCACCTGCCCTGGTCCCCTAGAGGTGGGCCAGAGCTCTGAATTTGACAGGTCACTCAGAGGTAGGCTACCCCTACCCCTAATGGTCATGATCAGACCCTACCCGAAGAAAGTAGAACCCTCTTCAGCATTTACAAGGTAAGTCGTCCTTATTAGCACCCCGTCTCCACAGATGGCCGGGGCTCAAACCCATTCTCTGGGCCTGGGCTGCCCAGGTGCTGTCTCCTTCCTCAGCTCTTGCTGGGTGGCCGAGGTGCCAGCTCCGCTCTCAGAGTCTGTATCGCCTGCAGAGTCTGGCGACACTCGTTTACAATCTCACACATCATTTTTCTTGGAAGCAATCTCATGCCTTTAAATATGTCATCGCTCGGGGTCTCCAGTCTCCTGCCTCTTCCCACGAGCAGGAGCCAGGCCTCCAGGTGGAAGTCTCCCCGATGCGAGGCCTCCAAAGCTGGGGTGGCTGGGGCTGCCTGCAGGGTTCACTTGGCTGCAGCAGCACCACGGGATGGCTAAGTGGGGTGGAGAAGGGTTCCCGGGAATAGGAGCGACGTGAGTCCGCCACACCCAATAGGAAGGCGGATCCTAGGCTACAACACGATATCTCACACGTTAAAGACACTGCTCGCTGGAGTTAAGTGGGCCTTCGATGGGGAAACCAAGGCTCAGAGAGGAAGTGATGGGCTGGCCCCACCCCTCACCCAGCCACACACCCACCACATCTGGAAGCTCTTCTGTCAGGACACGGCATATTCACTTGGGTGGTCCACGCCCACAGGAGTAACCTGCTTGGCTCTGACCACTCTGAAGGATGATGTGATTTTTTTTTTCCCCTCTCTCTCTCTCATTTCCTCGTTTGCTTTCCTTTGGAGCAACCTTCTCGTGACAGGTGGCCCAGCAGTTGCTGTGCCCAGCTAGACAGCCCAGCCTCCCAGAGGAGCTCCAATCCTTAGACTTGGAAGTCTCTGATCTGGAATCAGCCCCCTTTAAGTTCAGAAGGTCCTAGCCTGTAAGGAGGTTTGCCTTCCTCCAGAGTGGAGCTTGCCCCTGCAAGAGCCCAGGCCAGGCAGGCTCCTAGTGTTAGTGGCCCCTGAGTTTTGTCAGCCTGACTCTGGTGTGTGTGGGGTCACTGTCTTGCACAGAAGTGCATCTCTAGCATGGGAGGCAGACACATGGTAGGCACCTGCAGGACCCAACCCTTCAGTCCTGTGCTCCAGCATTTTGTATGTCCCCGCATAAGCCCCACCATGCCCTTCCAGGGAACTTGTAAGCAGTCTCCTGGGTGCCCTGGGCACTTGTGTTTCCCTGCATCTTAGTTCAGGTCTCATTTATCAGACAATGCAGTCCATGAAGATGACTCACAGCTCTGGGCTTTCACACACACCAGTCACCATCCTGGCCAGCAGTCCCTCATCTTCCACCCTGTTTGGGGGATGAAGTCCCTAGGTGTCAGTGATATCTGCAGCTGGCATTCAGAGGGGCCCTAAGGACCCTATCGCCCCATTCTCTGGTCCAAGTTATTCACAGCGCCCGCTCTGCAGAAATGCCTTTTTGGTCTCCCTGCGAGGGATCGCTTTTCCATCCCTCCAGCCACAGCACCCCAGCTTTTAACAGTGGCTCCCTCTTGGCAACATCTCCAGCAAGCGGATTCACGCCCCAACGCTGTAATCCGGTGGCTAACGTCGCCCCCAAGACATCCAGTCACCACCCCTCAAGTACAGTCGTCCAAGTTTCCCCGGCTCTCGGATGCCTTTCCCGGCGGCCAACAGCCAGCTCCAACTGTCGGGAGACTCCCGGGAGCTCGCACTTGGGTCCCGGCTGCAGACGCTTAGCCCCGGGGGTCTACCCTTGCTCGGTCTCCCGG